TATACCACTAATACTAACTGCTCACACTATCCCTTCTTCCAAGATACCAGTAATACTAACTGCTCACACTATCCCTTCTTCCAACATACCACTAATACTAACTGCTCACACTAATCCTTCTTCTAATATACCACTGACACTAACTGCTCACACTATCCCTTCTTCCAATATACCACTAACACTAACTGCTCACACTAATCCTTCTTCTAATATACCACTGACACTAACTGCTCACACTATCCCTTCTTCCAATATACCACTAACACTAACTGCTCACACTAACCCTTCTTCCAATATACCACTAACACTAACTACTCACACTATTCCTTCTTCCAATATACCAGTAATACTAACTGCTCACACTATCCCTTCTTCCAAGATACCACTAACACTAACTGCTCACACTATCCCTTCTTCCAATATACCACTAATACTAACTGCTCACACTATCCGTTCTTCCAATATACCACTAATACTAACTGCTCACACTATCCCTTCTTCCAATATACCACTAATACTAACTGCTCACACTATCCCTTCTTCCAAGATACCAGTAATACTAACTGCTCACACTATCCCTTCTTCCAACATACCACTAATACTAACTGCTCACACTAACCCTTCTTTCAATATACCACTAACACTAACTGCTCACACTATTCCTTCTTCCAATATACCACTAACACTAGCTGCTCACACTAACCCTTCTTCCAAGATACCACTAACACTAACTGCTCACACTATCCCTTCTTCCAATATACCACTAACACTAACTGCTCACACTATCCCTTCTTCCAAGATACCACTAACACTAACTGCTCACACTATTCCTTCTTCCAAGATACCACTAACACTAACTGCTCACACTATTCCTTCTTCCAAGATACCACTAATACTAACTGCTCACACTAACCCTTCTTCCAGGATACCACTAACACTAACTGCTCACACTATCCCTTCTTCCAATATACCGCTAACACTAACTGCTCACACTAACCCTTCTTCTAACATACCACTAACACTAACTGCTCACACTAATCCTTCTTCTAATATACCACTAACACTAACTGCTCACACTAACCCTTCTTCCAATATACCACTAACACTAACTGCTCACACTTACCCTTCTTCCAATATACCACTAACACTAAGTGCTCACACTAACCCTTCTTGCAATATACCACTAACACTAGCTGCTCACACTATCCCTTCTTCCAATATACCACTAACACTAACTGCTCACACTAACCCTTCTTCCAATATACCACTAACACTAAGTGCTCATACTAACCCTTCTTGCAATATACCACTAACTGCTCACACTATCCCTTCTTCCAACATGCCACTAATACTAACTGCTCACACTATCCCTTCTTCCAAGATACCACTAACACTAACTGCTCACACTATCCCTTCTTCCAATATACCACTAATACTAACTGCTCACACTATCCCTTCTTCCAATATACCACTAATACTAACTGCTCACACTATCCCTTCTTCCAATATACCACTAACACTAACTGCTCACACTATCCCTTCTTCCAAGATACCACTAATACTAACTGCTCACACTATCCCTTCTTCCAATATACCACTAACACTAACTGCTCACACTATCCCTTCTTCCAATATACCACTAATACTAACTGCTCACACTATCCCTTCTTCCAATATACCACTAACACAAACTGCTCACACTATCCCTTCTTCCAATATACCACTGACACTAACTGCTCACACTATCCCTTCTTCCAATATACCACTAATACTAACTGCTCACACTATCCCTTCTTCCAATATACCACTAACACAAACTGCTCACACTATCCCTTCTTCCAATATACCACTGACACTAACTGCTCACACTATCCCTTCTTGCAATATACCACTAACACTAAGTGCTCACACTATCCCTTCTTCCAACATACCACTGACACTAACTGCTCACACTATCCCTTCTTCCAATATACCACTAACACTAACTGCTCACACTAACCCTTCTGACAATATACCACTAACACTAAGTTCACCAAAGCAGGCAAATGTTCCAATATAAATCTGACCACATTAAGGATTGATGGTTATTACTACTAGGCAGGGTATAAATAAACATCTTCACACCTTACTGTTAGATTAATTCAAACTGTGCTTACAGATTTATTTTACTTAACATTATTACCTGCTAATACTCAAACATTGCAAATTTGCCAACCAACACTTGTCATGGTTTTCATTTCTGCATTCTTATTCTGTTTGTTTGTTTTTCATGCTATTGTTATGTAAATATAGGACAAGCTTACATGAAATCCTTCAGAATGGCTTCTTATTTAATAATTCTCATTGTATAATATGTATTTTAAACAAAAATACAAGTGTATGTTTTATATCTTTGTGTTTATTTTCAGATGTTGTTCAAAATTGGAACAAGAGGTAAATTTATAACTCTATTTATACATTACTCTCATTTTCACCTTGCATTCCCTAATTATTTATTAAAGCACAAAAATACACTTTTTTCCATAGCTCATGTTATTACATAGATTTAACAAAGTTCAATCTATGATTCCTATAACTGCAGTGACTTTACAGAAACATGTCTTGATACTGCAGGATTTTAGTTATAGAGTGTAGAAAGGGGAGAACGTGAATCGTGCAGTTGTAGAATGTCCTGACTCAATCTATGGGTTAATGAACAGATTCATTCATAGCGGCCTAACAATTACCGTAGATTTGTTCGTTTGTAGATTGACAGGCATTTGATTTGTTTAGTGCTGCTGAAAAGCGCTTCGTGCACACATCTGGTTGAGTGTTGAAGTAAAATTTTGAGGACTATTTAAAGGGGTGCTCTAAACACAACAATCACTAAATATAGTTATTGTGCCAGTCACCTGGAGCCATACCAGGATAAGTACATAAAAGAAACCTTCAGACACAGATTCAGATGTAAAAGTTCCATTGAAATATTCCTCGGCGAGCACAGGTGCTTCTGGACTCTGTTTCGAAGACCGCGCTGTAACTAGCCATAGTGGAATAAAGGATGTGGTAAGATCTATGAACACTGTAGCCCTGATATAAAGCAGCTTCGCCAAACCTCTTTATTCAGTTAACATAGGATAACAAATAGTAGATCCTTTATGTTTACTGAATGAAGATGCTTGGTGAAGCTGTTTTACACCGGAGCTGCGGTGCGCCTAGACTTTATCACGTTCTTTATTCCATCCCTGGTTAAGTAGTCAATGCTTGTCAAACAGTTTGTAAACTTAATAGGTCTCTTTGGTGACTCCAGTGTGGCCTCCTATAAAGATATAGCTGAACTGGGAATTCTGCTTCTAATTTAGATACAACACCTTTGTCGTTACTTGGACTAGATTCCTTAGCTGAGAGATCAACCAATGCTCTGAGCAAACTAATTTAATTCAAAGTAAGAACTGCAGGTTAAGTGATATCTGTAAAGGGGGCTGGACCGGTGGTACGGCAACTTTTTGTTAAGTGTTGATCATCCAGTTTTGCATAATTATGGGAAAACTAATTGCCAGAGTACAGTTTATCAGAATTGTTTTATTAAATCTGTGAAATATACATAAACAAGAACCTTGGCACTGACAGATCATAAAATTCCATTGGGGAGAGGTCTGTCTGATCACAGCAAGCTGAGTTGAGCATTAATGAGCCAGATTATCTCCGATATCCATTATCATCTGGCTTCTGAACACTATGGGCAACTTGTCATCTGTGATTGGAGAGACCAGATCCCTGTGCAATGTTAGGGACTGTTAGTACCTGGGATTTTTCTGTTATAGATTTAATTAAAAAAAACAATATTTAATTCCCATTTTGATAAAATTTTAAACTACTGTGTGCTGTATTTTTTTCTTCATTTCTTTTGTAAGATAGTAATATATAGTATTTTATATATTCACTGATTATACGACGTTCCTTGTCTATACTGAATAAAGAAAAAATTGACCCTGTTCTAGCGGATATTTACATGTGCTGATTGCTTACACGAATCTCTGTGTTTTTGTAGGTTAAAGAAGAGTTAGAACCTTACGAAAGCTACGTTCAGAAAGTAAACACCATCTACTGTTCTTTACCTGTGAGCTGACTAATGCAAATAGATGGATCCAGAATTTTTTTTAAATAAATGAAAACTGATTTTTATTAATCTTAGCTTCTATGTCATTTTGAAATGTATAAAAATGGGAATGGTGTAAAACAAATATTAGTTAGAACATTTTAAACATGTTTGTTATCGTTTACTGATGTGTATCGCCCATTCTTTAACCTGTAGATATTTTGTGTGTGTTTACACATTACCTCGAGCATTATTGTCACTCCAGCTCTCCACATCTTCTAAAATAATTTCTAGCTGAGTCTGTTGACCACTCCACATCCTTAGATTATTTCTTACACACACTATCTGAACAGTGAACACGCCGTATCCAACACCGTCTTTAACCTGCACTGTCTGAGCAGTGTACACACTGTATCCAACACCTTCTATAACCTGCACTGTCTGAGCAGTGTACACACTGTATCCAACACCGTCTTTAACCTGCACTGTCTGAGCAGTGTACACACTGTATCCAACACCTTCTATAACCTGCACTGTCTGAGCAGTGTACACACTGTATCCAACACCTTCTATAACCTGCACTGTCTGAGCAGTGTACACACCGTATCCCACACCATCTATAACCTGCACTGTCTGAGCAGTGTACACACGGTATCCCACACCATCTATAACCTGCACTGTCTGAGCAGTGTACACACTGTATCCCACACCTTCTATAACCTGCACTGTCTGAGCAGTGTACACACCGTATCCCACATCGTCTATAACCGGCACTGTCTGAGCAGTGTACACGCCGTTTCCAACACCGTCTTTAACCTGCACTGTCTGAGCAGTGTACACACTGTATCCAACACCTTCTATAACCTGCACTGTCTGAGCAGTGTACACACCGTATCCCACACGTCTATAATCTGCACTGTCTGAGCAGTGAACACGCCGTATCCAACACCGTGTTTAACCTGCACTGTCTGAGCAGTGTACACACTGTATCCAACACCTTCTATAACCTGCACTGTCTGAGCAGTGTACACACCGTATCCCACGCCATCTATAACCTGCACTGTCTGAGCAGTGTACACACTGTATCCAACACCTTCTATAACCTGCACCTTCTATAACCTGCACTGTATGAGCAGTGTACACACCGTATCCCACACCATCTATAACCTGCACTGTCTGAGCAGTGTACACACCGTATCCCACACCATCTATAACCTGCACTGTCTGAGCAGTGTACACACCGTATCCCACACCTTCTATAACCTGCACTGTCTGAGCAGTGTATCCCACACCGTATATAACCTGCACTGTCTGAACAGTGAACACGCCGTATCCAACACTGTCTATAACCTGCACTGTCTGAGCACTGTACACACCGTATCCCACACCATCTATAACCTGCACTGTCTGAACAGTGTACACACAGTATCCAACACCTTCTATAACCTGCACTGTCTGAGCAGTGTACACACCGTATCCCACACCATCTATAACCTGCACTGTCTGAGCAGTGTACACACTGTATCCCACACCTTCTATAAGCTGCACTGTCTGAACAGTGTACACACCATATCCCACACTGTCTGTGACCTGCACTGTCTGAGCAGTGTACACACTGTATCCAACACCTTCTATAACCTGCACTGTCTGAGAAGTGTACACACCGTATCCCACACCGTCTATGACCTGCACTGTCTGAGCAGTGTACACACCATATCCCACCCTGTCTATAACCTGCACTGTCTGAGTAGTGTACACACTGTATCCAACTCCTTCTATAACCTGCACTGTCTGAGCAGTGTACACACTGTATCCCACACCGTCTATTACGTGCACTGTCTGAGCAGTGTACACACCGTATCCCACATCGTCTATAACCGGCACTGTCTGAGCAGTGTACACGCCGTATCCCACAACGTCTATGACCTTCACTGTCTGAGCAGTGTACACACTGTATCCAACACCTTCTATAACCTGCACTGTCTGAGCAGTGTACACACCGTATCCCACATCGTCTATAACCGGCACTGTCTAAGCAGTGTACACAGTGTACACACCGTATCCCACACCGTCTGAGCGGTATGTTAACTCCAGATTCTATGACTCTTTCGCTAGTTGGGCTGTATTGTCACCATATCTATTAATCCCCCCTACTCAGCTCTCTAAACCCTCTATAATCCTCACTAGCTAAATTGTATGCCGCCTCTAAACCGCAATGCCCACTACAACAACCACCGGCATGGCGGAGTGATCACTCCAGCTCTCCACACCTCCTGTTTCGTAGTTAACAGTGCAGACTGAATACTCCATAATGCACAACAGTCAAAACATTTTCTCACTTTACTCTGTGTCTCAGATAATCTCTGTACCATTCCTACAAATGGACTTTCATTTCACAAACCCTAAACAATATATTTAAGATTAAGAATGTATTGTAAATTAAAATAAATTATGTTTTATTTTAATATTTTTCATGTTTCTTATTAGGTAACTTGTTTAGTTGTGTATATTAAAACATTCCATTGCATTCTCAAAAACTAGAGAACTTTCAGTATATTGCTTTTGGAACAGTAAACCAAGGAAGAGAGAGGACAGGTTGGGAATTATTTCTGACTAGTGATGTCCCGAACGGTTCGCTGAACGGTTCGCCACGGACGGCGAACATATGCGCTGTTCGGTCCGCCCCCTATTCGTCATCATTGAGTAAACTTTGACCCTGTACCTCACAGTCAGCAGACACATTCCAGCCAATCAGCAGCAGACCCTCCCTCCCAGACCCTCCCACCTCCTGGACAGCTCACTAAGAATGCAGCTTCACAATGAATGTAAATGGATGCTGTCCAGGAGGTGGGAGGGTCTGGGAGGGAGGGTCTGCTGCTGATTGGCTGGAATGTGTCTGCTGACTGTGAGGTACAGGGTCAAAGTTTACTCAATGATGACATAGGGGGCGGACCGAACAGCGCATATGTTCACCGTCCGCGGTGAACCGTTCGGCGAACCGCTCGGGACATCACTATTTCTGACCAATGTTAGTTCGCACAGTAATACAAGTTTATGCAATTAGTTTTAGATACCATGAACTGCATATTTTTAAACGTTAACATAGCTTATAGTTGTAGATTTACTCCTCTGTCACTGTTTGGAACCCTCTCTTTGTCTGAGCTGGAACAAACCATAGGAAGGTGCATCCATTTCTACACATAGTTACCAGGGATGGGCTGGAATCAGACAGGCAAACAGAAAACAAGTAAAAGCACAGGAACAAACACAACAGCTAAGAAAGACAAACAAAACAAACGGGCTGAGGTTTGGAGCTGGTATCCAGAAGCAGAGGTAGCCAGCAGGGTTAGTCAAGACTCATAAGCCATTATTGTGTAATGGTTAAATTCCGGCTCACACTCGATATCTGGGACTCCCCTCTGTCAGCTGGATCCATTGTACAGTGCTACGGTATTTGTTGACGCTTTATAAATAATATAAATAATAATATCAGCTGGAGCCATATTTAGCAAACTCAGACTGACCAATGAGTTTTAACGGTACTTTAAGTGAGCGCTGCATACAATCCCTTAAATGGGATCTAAATTATGCAGTTGAGCTATCGCGTTCAGCCATGATGATACTGCATGCGGTTTGAGGAAGATCTACAGGGTCTGGAAAAACCTTGACACCTTGTCTCCCCGCATGCCCCCTGCATATTGTGCTGGGTTTTATCAGTTGCCCAGCACGGATCACAGTGCGATCGCAGAGAGAGCATGCCAGAGATACAGCTTCATAGTAAGATCTCCCTCTCATGCTGCAAACAGACAGAAGATAGTGGGACTTCAGACAGATATCAGTAATGGCATTAGTAGAGGGAAACCATTAGGGTTAGTGGTACGGTTAGAATTAGTGTAAAGGTAGGGATAGAGTTAGTGTAGTTAGTGCTGGGTTAGAGTTAGTGTAAAGGTAGGGATAGTGTTTAATGCTGGGTCAGAGTTAGTGTAAAGGTAGGGATAGTGTTTAAATGAACACTATAGTCACCTAAATTACTTTAGCTAAATAAAGCAGTTTTAGTGTATAGATCATTCCCCTGCAATTTCACTGCTCAATTCACTGTCATTTAGGAGTTAAATCACTTTGTTTCTGTTTCTGCAGCCCTAGCCAGACCTCCCCTGGCTATGATTGACAGAGCCTGCATGAAAACAACTTACTGGTTTCACTTTCAAACAGATGTAATTTACCTTAAATAATTGTATCTCAATCTCTAAATTGAACTTTAATCGCATACAGGAGGCTCTTGCAGGGTCTAGCAAGCTATTAACATAGCAGGGGATAAGAAAATCTTAATTAAACAGAACTTGCAATAAAGAAAGCCTAAATAGGGCTCTCTTTACAGGAAGTGTTTATGGAAGGCTGTGCAAGTCACATGTAGGGAGGTGTGACTAGGGTTCATAAACAAAGGGATTTAACTCTTAAATGGCAGAGGATTGAGCAGTGAGGCTGCAGGGGCATGTTCTATACACCAAAACTGCTTCATTAAGCTAAAGTTGTTCAGGTGACTATAGTGTCCCTTTAACGCTGGGTTATGGTTAAAGCTGCTTGTTGTTAGTTATTGAGGGACTGAGCTTAGAGGCAAGGTTAGGGTAGATGAGACTGCAGGTGCATATTATAAACATCAGAACCACTTCATGAAGCTAAAGTTGTTTTTGGTGCTTAGAGTATAATTTAAGAACTCTGTTAGCAGGTATGCGAACAGTAAAGAAGTAAAGAGGAGATCAGGAAAGATATATAAAAGGTCTCTGTTCACCATACAGTAAAACCAGAACATGCCTTTGCTCGCTGGGGGCTAGGTCCAGACTCAATTAGCCCTCATTTTATAACAAACAAAACCACATTTCCTTAGGGAAAATGATATGGTAGATCATGTGTTGCAGCCTCTTGTAATAACCACCAAAAATGTATCCCAGAGCCGTAGTAATCACAAATATATAACACAATTTTATTTATAATTCCTATAGCAACTGCGACTTTACATAAACATCATGTTATGCTGCAGGGTTGGCACTCTAAGAACAATAATGGCCACAGCGGACTGGTGCTAGGAGTCCCATGGAGCCATCCCTACCTGTTTTCAGGCAGGTTGAAAGTTTAACTGGGTCCTATGGGTACATTTTAATTCAGGCCCTGACGCAGCAAAGCAGCCCCAAACCATGATGCCCCCACCACCATACTTCACAGTTGGGATGAGGTTTTGATGTTGGTGTGCTGTGCCTTTTTTTCGCCACACATAGTGTTGTGTGTTTCTTCCAAACAACTCAACTTCAGTTTCATCTGTCCACAGAATATTTTGCCAGTACTGCTGTGGAACATCCAGGTGCTCTTGTGCAAACTGTAAACGTGCAGCAATGTTTTGTTTGGACAGCAGTGGCTTCCTCTGTGGTATCCTCCCATGAAATCCATTCTTGTTTAGTGTTTTACGTATTGTAGATTCGCTAACAGGGATGTTAGCATTTGCCAGTGACATTTGTAAGTCTTTAGCTGACACTCTAGGATTCTTCTTCACCTCATTGAGCAGTCTGCACTGTGCTCTTGCAGTCATCTTTACAGGATGGCCACTCCTAGGGAGAGTAGCAGCAGTGCTGAACTTTCTCCATTTATAGACAATTTGTCTTACCGTGGACTGATGAACAGCAAGGCTTTTGGAGATACTTTTATAACCCTTTCCAGCTTTATGCAAGTCAACAATTCTTAATCGTAGGTCTTCTGAGAGCTCTTTTGTGCGAGGCATCATTCACATCAGGCAATGCTTCTTGTGAAAAGCAAACCCAGAACTGGTGTGTGTTTTTTATAGGGCAGGGCAGCTTTAACCAACACCTCCAATCTCATCTCATTGATTGGACTCCAGTTGGCTGACATCTCACTCCAATTAGCTCTTGGAGATGTCATTAGTCTAGGGGTTCACATACTTTTTCCACCTGCACTGTGAATGTTTACATGGTGTGTTCAATAAAAAACATGGCAACATTTAATTCTTTGTGTGTTATTAGTTTAAGCAGACCGTGATTGTCTATTGTTGTGATTAAATCACATTTTCTAACCAATTTGTGCAGAAATCCATATCATTCCAAAGGGTTCACATACTTTGTCTTGCAACTGTATTAAAGATGTATATTATGTATATATTTTGCAGTACACAGATAGGCACATATTTTTTAATTTTTTTTGACAATCTTTATTTTCGTTTTAACGAATACATACAAGATAGTAAACAAGGGTTCAACACCACAGTATACCAGGAAGATATTGCAATGTTATGCCATCAACAATTGTACACTTCATTAAACAGGTAGACCCTGGGGCTACTAGCGGGCTCCAAGACTGAGCGTCTAAGCCAGATTTTCCACTACTAACGAGGAATATGCGTATATTACACCAGTAGCCGGTGCCGAAGCACGGCTTGTCTTGCGCTAAAGCCCGCATAGGTGTCAATTGTGCGGCTTAGGGTAGTGGAGGCGGAGTAGTGGCTTTGGTGTTTATCCTGCCCGACATTGGCCTATTTTCTATTCTCCAGCTAATGGAGTGTTAGTCTGGAGTTATCTCTGCCCTTAGCTCAAGTCCCTTAGTCGTTAATTGTCATGGAGTATATAATGCGTTGTAACAACAGTTTAGGAGTCCAGTCATGTATCACATTAGACTTGTCAAGCGTTCACCTCCCGTCGTCTACTGGTCATGTCGGTGAAGTGTCCCCCACGGTCCGTTTTACTATATGGGGGATGGGTCTAGAAGGGTGAAGGTGGGTCTCACGTTTACCTAGTGGAAATTGTGGTGGGTAGGGGAGTCTGTCAGTCCTGTGTTGCAACTCTGAGCTTGGCAAAGTCCGTCCTCAGGCATTCGTCTGGTGCAGTCCGATCGGGCCGCCCGGGCCCATGGCACCCCCAGCTGGCCTCACAAGTGCATGTAAGAGGTTCTGTGGGGAAGGGAGAGGCTTAAGGGGGAAGGGGGGGGGCGAGGGGACAGGAGAGGGGGACGGGGGGAAGAGCACCGTGGCTCAGTCAAGGGCAGGGGGACCCGCCACCAATATCCGGCCTGCGGCCCGGGGCCTGCGACTCAGGGCGTGCATTGGTCAGGTCGGCGCCCGGGGGTCGACGTGCTCTATAGGCAATCCAGGGGCCCCATAATCGGGAACACTGCTCTCCAGTGCCGTATAGGTCTGCCGTAAGGCTTTCCATGGTAAAGATTTCTTCCATCTTATCCGCCCACTCCGAGACTGTTGGCACTAATTGGGTTTTCCATTTAATAGGGATTAGGCTTTTAGCTGCATTCAGGAAGTGTTTCGTTAAGGACTTTTTGTATCTGCCGATCGGCATGTCAGTGTGATGGAGCAGCATCGGGAGAGGCAGCAGTGGTACCTCCGAATCCAGGACTTCCTTCAGTTTTCCATGAATTTGTCGCCAGAAGGTGGCTATGGGAGGACAAGTCCACTGTAGCGGATGGCACTGGGCTGTCCTGGGAATTGTATTAGCCTTGACTGCATTCGTGTAAATGGCAAAGTTATAAGTGTTAAATGTATTGTGTTCATCTGATTGTTCAGTAGTTTCATTCCCTTAGTTTGTTCGAATGAACCTACTGAACAGTCAGACTTCCCCTGTGTGAAGTGTGCCTTCAATTACCCGTTGCAACATTGTTGCGAACGGGTAATTGACAAGCTGAGTAGCAGTCCTTTGTTCTCGGGGGTGGCCACCATTCGGTAAACGAACACGTGGCGGCGGCCATTTTAAAACTCCCGAACAGCGTTTTTTTGCCGTCGAGTGTCTGGAACTCAAATCGGACACTCGACTAGGCGAACACCACTGAGACCTCCACAAGCCCGGTTCTAAATTACCGAACGGCCCCTCATTCGGTAGATAGAAACAACTGA